TGATCAAGCAAAATCAAGTGTAGTTTCACAATCTTTCAAAACCGGAGCAGTCCAATGCCTAGTTGTTACCTATTATCTGAACACCATAATTAATGTACAGAAGAACGATGTTAGTTAAAGGGGTCTCATCTATATCAAAAAAAGGAGACAACATACACACCTCCCAAACCTGGCTTTAGCATAGACCTTTAATGAATTGGGGGCAGCGGGATTGGTGGAACGGGCAGCAGTTGTTAGTCCTTCTTGAAAACTAACGTTGGGTATTCTGGAACCCACATGTTAATCTGCACATAGTTTAGAAGTTCCTCCTGCAAAATGTTTGTGTCATTATTGTCAATGTATAGTTCAGGAAACAAAAAGAAGGTAATTACTGGATTTTGAAATAAAACAGCCGACTTACCTTGTTCTCGCTGAGTTTTTTAAGCTCTCGAGCATCTACATCCCTGTATCCTTCTGCGAGATCCTCTTCTACAGCTTCCTTCACAACAGCTGCGGCTACCTCCTTTGTAATGTCTCGTATCCTGCATAATCAAACCAGTGAATGAGCCCTAGCATTTAAATGTAACTCTAGGCTTCTTTGAACACGCACACACAAACAAAGAAAAAAAAAAAAAAAAGGGAAGAAGAAGAAGAAGAAGAAGAAAGGGTTGTGCTAAGTACTTTGATATTGGAGGGTATATCATCCCCTGGAGGACCTCTTCTTCAGTCATGTATGAAGCCAGGCTGCAATTTTCAATTGAATGTCAGAAATAGAACAGTGGATAAATGAGTAGATCATCTTGGTTTTCCAGTTGTAAGATTCTCCTAAGGAACTTTTCGATCATTCTCCATTAGAGAAATCCTTGAGATGCAAAATAGAATACTAATGAATCAAGAACACAAGTAAATGATAACTACTAAAAATAATTAGCTAACAGCTCATTCGATCTATACAAATTGGATCACCTTTTCTTATTCCTAAGGAGGTTTTTTATGTAAACAAAGTATAAAGTACAAGCGTTGTTTCCATTGCAGAAAAAATACAAATGATGCCTAGGTATTTTCATAAGTTCACCATCTACAATGGCTAGCTCTTTATCTGCCCAAACTTTCACATCAGCTCCAAATTCTCTAGACCAGCAAATATCTGTTTCTACAAACATACAAAATAAATGAGGGCAATAAAATTACCACTCTGCTGCAGCCTGTAGCATGCCATCAGAAATGATCCTAGAGCCAGATAGGAGGGTACCTAGTCCAATTCTGGATAACATATGGCAAGCAATTATAAAACAAGTAATTCAGTAGACCTCAATAGAATTACCCTTTACTTAGTGGAATTGGCAAAACTGACCCTGGGAAGAGATACATGTTATTTCCCTGGTTGCAATGCCCAACATGTCCATTTCCTGAAAATTTGAAAGTCAAAATTCCAAAGCTTCATAATCATAGCACCGTTTTCAGGATAGATTGTGTACCGTACTCCTCCTATCAAACTAAAGATATTGTGGAAGTTAAAATGACATGTAACAATAAGTATCCATAGGTTACTGGAGCTCAGTTTGCCTTCTCTATAAATGACCAGGGCAACCATAACAATGATTGGTAGTTCAAACAAGCAACGCCAAAGAAGATGCTGCTTGTGTCTGTATAAGCAGTCATGTGTGCACAGATTGTGTCCCCAACTGCTGAATAATGTTGCTTCTAATTGCATGATTGCATTTTATTTATCTTTAAAACAGAAAAATTACAAAAGTTCCTCCATGCATACCGAGATCAACATCCATGAATGGACTTCCACTTGCAAATATGATATTTTCACCAACAATGGAGAATGCTTCTTCTGGGGTGCACTCAGCTGTGACAATGAGAAAAATAAAAGGACAATCAAGCATAAGTGAAATTTCTCATATTTCTATCTCAGACAAATCTTTACAGAAGAGAATCCATGCCATTTTTTGTAGGGTTTGACATTGCAAAGATAGCTGGTCTAGTTGAAGTTGAACTTTTGAGTGCCTCTAACACCTGAAATAGAATATATTCACATATCATCTTTAAGGAAGGAAACTAGAAACATGCTTAAATTACAAGCAATGTAATAGACAAAAGATTACATATCATTTAGCATATTAATTTACATACTACAATTTAGCATCATGCTCCATTGCTCTCAGACCAACAAAGTATTAACACAACAATTCTTATAAACAGCAGTGGATAAAAAGAAAACAGTTTAAACATTTTTGATATATAAAATAAATTCTACACCTCCTTGGAGAATAACCCTCCAACTGCAGATAATCCGAGAAGCACATCAGGCTTCACTTGTTTTACCTGGACAGCATAAATTAAGCAAATATATAAGCTATGACATGCTTAGTTGTTTGGGACTTAAAAGTTGGCACGTGATCCAAAAAGCTAGAAAAAAAAAAAAAAACAATTCTACATCAATATACTGAGGTGGTAGAATTTCACAAACCACTTCCTCAAGACTAGCGCCTTCCCTTAATCCTTGCCGTTCAATTTCTTTGACTTTCCTTGTGAAGGGCAGGGCCTCTGGATCAACATTTTCACGTGCCTCTGTGATAAGACCCTGGATAAAAATAACATATTTGATTACCATTTCTAGCTAATGCAAAACGGACTCTTTCAACAGAGCAATAGTGCCTGTCTTAAAATTAGTGCCTGACTTTCAGACAAGCTATCACTGGAAACAGTTCAATGATGTAATTTGATACGCAAGAAATTTTATGAGCAAGACCTTACTTCAGGTATTTTTCCTTCCAAATCTTGTATCAAGTTGTCAAAAGAAAAGGTTTGATACCATTTGAACTTGTCCTATCAAGTACAATTTTAATCTTTCATCCAAAAAGAAGTCCAGTCAAAACATAGTGATAGGTTTCAGCTGACCCACATGTTTAACAACTTGGAAATCTAATTCATCAACTTAAAATTCCAAGTAAAGAAAAAAATATATATCTTCATTGAAATTAGGAATCTGTGGCTTAAGCTCTATGGTACAGGTAAAAGAGTTTGACCATTAACCTCGGCATCAACCACCCAGAATTGCCTTGTTGCACTATCAAAAGCAGTTTCAGTATTTCCTAACATCCTTGCCATTGTTTTCCTTGCAGCATTTAGAACCCCAATTCCTGCACTGTATCAATGATAGATTATGCAATCAAGCCCTAATATCTTTCACCCACGGGCATTTTTTATTCTGTATTTTTTTTTTTTTTCAAAAATTCATAACTGACCTCCCAGCACCAGCAACTACAATCTTTTGCTTTGGAAAGTCGATCATTGGCCTTCCCTGTGCCCTTACAGCTCCAAGAAGGCCAGCGATTGCAACTCCAGCTGTACCCTGCAAGGTGAGCCAAAAAATCAGGCCTGTTGGTAAAGAATGATTAAGTGTTAAAATCAACCCAAATAGAATTTAATCATGATGATTCTATGTATCACTCAGATATTTGTGTTAAATTGAAAAGACAATTATTGAGAACTCAATCAAACTCAAGTACCTGAACATCATCATTGAACATTCGATATGTATTTCTGTACCGCTGCAACAGCTTAAAGGCCCACTTGCTCTGGAAATCTTCAAACTGAAATAATATAACTCCATCAGTGTCTCTTAAACAAAGAGAGATAAGTAAATGATTGTCATTGCTAGCTGGCAAGACAGATATATCTATATTACCTGCACAATCACATTTGGCCAACGAGTAAACACAGCCTCCATGAATTCATCAATTACTGAAAGGTACTCATCACCATCAAGACGGTGTTGCTGCAGCCCCAAATCTATTGCAAAGAAAAATGGTACCATTAAAGGGTATTAAATAAATCATAAAACATCTCTAAAATATAATAGGAAGTTAATGAAAAGGGCGCTAGATGACAGGGAAAGACTTACACAAGGGGTCTTTGAGCAACTTCTCATTGTTGGTTCCAACATCAATCATGACAGGGAGTACCTACTCATGCAAAAAATGAAAAATTTTTTAAGGTTCTCACTTCTCAGTAAACTGTGAAGAGGAGGATAACCATAAAAATTAGTATGATATCTAACTGTCAAGAAATGGTCAGAAATAGAAAACTTTTAGGAGGAACTTGATGACTCAAAATGAATTTAGTAACATCAAATTCCACCTCATTCTTTTATACTCTTCGAAAGTAAAGTTGAGAACATAGGGAGAACAGAATAATGAAAGATAAAGAGAGACCAGAATAATGATCTAAAGATTGAAACCTGGGTATATATATAGGCATTATCTTACTGACTATGATTTGTATTTTTTTATTTTCCACTATTCAAAAAGAAGGTGTCATAAAGCAAGGCTGCAACTTCCTTAGGAAAATGTTCATGTGTTCCTCTTCACTGCCTAGAACTATTCAAGATAATTGTAATTCTCTAACTAAAAATTAATCATTTGTCATGCATTTAACATAGAAACCCTGTCCCTTTGGGTATGCCAAATAGAATTAACAATACATTAATACATTAAAATGTTTGGCTTAAAAGAAAGGGTATCACAGAAAGGATCCAATAGAATTGACATTAGTGTGCAAAATGTCTGGTGCTGATAAAGAAGAACATATTAAATGTCCAGCAGAGAAGCAAACGTTATTCAGAAAGGAAAAACATACCCTTTGAGGATTTATTCCAGCAGCAGCAACATATAAATCCAGCTTTCCAATTGCTATACCAATTCCCTGAACACCAAGATCTCCCAGACCCAAAATTCGGCTTCCATCCGTAACAACAATCATATCGACCTGTACTTAACAAAAATAAATAAATAAATAAATAAACAGGAAGCCTCAAAGTTCAAACCTCCAAAATTAGAATTCTGATGCTCCACGGCTTATTAGCATTGACTAAAACTCATATTCCACAAAAAACAAGATTCTTTGAAACATTGATGCTAAAAATCACATTAAGGTATTAACCAAACTTGATGATACAATAAAGGTCACAATCCAGTGGTACCATGTTTTTCTAATGAGAAAAGCATAATAACGATGCCAGAACAATGGGGAAAAGGCAACTGAACATGAGAATTGCAGAGTGGCCTACATCAGTTCAAGTAACCAAAAAATTACACCATTTAATACATCATTAAATGATTAAAAAGAACTGAGACCTGATCAGCTGGCCAGTTGTAGACCATGGACATCATTTCTCCACAATCTTCAGCACTGAAGTACATCCCCCGAGGCCTCCTAAACAGACCACTGTAGTTTTGGCAAACAAGACCTACTGTTGGTGTATACACTATAGGTGCATATTCCTCAATATTGGCAATCAACACCTGCCATATTCAGAAATAAACCAATATTCATTGATATCATTTGTAAAATGATGAGATGTATAGCCTGCTATTTCCATATTATTTACGAGATGAGTTAATGAAAATATGCACATGTAATGCATTTAGGATACTCCGGCTGAAAGTCACCAAATTATGGATAAATCAACATAGTGCTTAGTGCACATCTGAAAAAAGGGGAAGAAAAGGCAAAGATTCTACCTTATGGTACATTGTTTCATTTCTATCATGCAACCGATTGAGAATCCGCCACTTAGCCAGAGCATTTGGATCAGATGGTCCATCTCTAGCTTGGACTTCAAGCCTCTTTAAATCAACCACTGTTAATTAATAAACTTTTGAAAATTAAATCCCAAAAACAGATTCGAAATTCTGTCTGGAAAAACCTAGCCAACCAAACATCAAAAGTTTGTGCACGTGTACTATACATGTTTGAACTCAACAGAAACCTAAACTATTCCCACTGCATCTTGTAATTTTGAAGATTACAAGACTAAGAAGTTGGTCTAAGCTCTACGACGCTTCCTAAGATAGTCAAAAACCAGAAATTTGTTTAGTATATGAAAGAGTATTCGGAAGCAGGATTGAAAAGGGTGAAATCATGTACAGTAAGTACATGAAAAGAGAAAAGAGTAAAATCTTACTAAACCGTTCAATCTGCTGCTCAGAAGACATAACATTAGGAGGAAGAAGACCACGAAGATCAAGCCGATCTCGTTCCGTCATGGAAAATGCCGTTCCCTAATATAAAAACATCAGAAAATTCAGCAAAAGCAGGATCCATCAATAAAACATAAGCCGCCAACATTTTCATTCCCTTGAACAAAGATAGATCAAACAGAGACTATAAAACGAACTTCGAATCGGATTGAATTACCCTGTTGAACCAAGGATCATGAAGAATATCGAGACTGCGCTTGTGCACGATGGTCGGTCGGTGGCCTTCAGCGGTGGTGAAAGATCTGGTCACCGCAGGAGCACCGAACTTATGTTTGAGCCGTCTGATGAGAGACAAGGAGGCTCTGATCTGATCGGAGAAGTTGGACATTTTCGCCTTCCAGATTGAATCGAACAACTCTGAAACCCTAGAAGAAGTCACTGAGTAAGAACTAGTGGAGAGCAAGTGAACAAAGTAGAAGAAAAATTCAACGTTGCACTTTGCGCGTTATTCAACTTGAAGCATCAGTTTTTCCGTAAGTTTTTCTTTCCTCTTTCCGGCGATTATTATGTTCGTTATCAGTTAGAGGGAAAAGCGATGTTGATGTTCAAAGTTAAAAGTAGGAATCTTTTAACCGATGCAGATGCATTGAAATCGGAAATAAGATTTATTTTTGTAATTTTTTATATAAATCAATAAAAAAAACTGTAAAAAATATATATTTTTTTAATTTATATATTTTAAAAAAATTAAAAATGTCAATGGCTTTAATG